TGGGAAAAGGTAGAAAACTAATACAATTAATTCTAAACCATTTTTAATATGTGAAATCAAGCACCTGTGAGCTCTCACAACTCTTACAGAAAAGTCACATTGAATGGGCGAGAGAGATGGTGTTACAACCTAGGAACCCCAATCAACCCACCCTTTGTACGCACCTCAATTCATCCCATCTGCAAAAAATGGAATAATGTTACTTAATTGTTCTCACAAAGGGAGATTGCGATGTTTCATTACCGCAGACCACATACCGCACGCCACAAACAACTACGCACTAGTGAAAGCTTCCAAAACAAAAAATCCACTGAGACTGAAAAGACCAACGCTGCTAATTTATAACTGGAATCTTTACAGATATTGGACCATGTATTCGGTCATCTACCTCCAATTTTTATTTTCTATATCTGAATTCATATAATTCCCAGATTAAAGTGTCTGCACGAGACTTCAGAAGGGAAGAAAAAAAAAAAGAGTCCAATAAACGTTTAAAAAGCTTAAAAAAAAACACGTAAGTTCAAGTTTGTGAACATAAATAATGCTGTTTTTACCCTAAAGAGAAAATATGCCCTTTGAAGCCCAATTGGGATTGAGGAGATGTAGGTTCAGCTCCTAGCTGTTAGTCAGATTCCCTGCAGTGATACACACGCTATCTCCAACCTTACCTTGAGTCATATGATTACTAAATTGAGTTTCATCATCTGAAGTAGAACTGAGGGTTAATCCCAAGTCTTCTATCCTCTTCTTCTGCTTCTTTTGCGGGCTGCTAAATTCTGGCTCTGCCCTTCTCTTCATTTTTACTGAAAGAAAAAAATAAAAATAAATCACACTTAGAAAACATTAAGCAAGTTAACTTTCCTCCTGCTCGCTGAAGGGTAAGGTGAAGGTCTCATACCAGCAGCACTGTGGCATAGATTATTTTATGGACCATTCAGTGATACACTTCTCAACTTAAGTTTCCTTTAGGTAAACGCACTGGATTTTTTTGATACCACCTATTTAATAGTCGGTTTAACTAACCAAACAGGAAAACTATACAGAAGTTTCCCTACTGCCAATGACTTGAATTCAGAATCACTTCTACAACCTAGTCACCATTAAATGCTAGCAGCTGAAGAGAACCAAGGTTTCAGCACTTACGTAACTTAAAAATACAACAGTCAATTATTACTACTGAATCAAAGATTCACTCTACCCAAACACAAAAAACCAGGAAGTAAGATCAATCTAATGGGGAACACACAAGGTGGAATCCATTTCTCACAAGAGAATCACAACACCTCTGACCTCGCCCATGCAAATATTAATTACAAAATGAGCTTTTCCACATTAATTCTACAACAAAACTTTATTAAATACAAACACTCAAGGTTCTTGAGGTTTTTTTGGTTGATTTTTTCTATTTGTTTGCTTTTACCATCAGACATCACTGGCATGATATCAAGTTTCTGGATGTGCCAGATAAATTTCACATAAATTCAGAGAAAGAAGTAACACTCAAGGCTAAGCTAATAGGACCTAGGTGGGAAGGCTCACAGAGATGTGCCAAGAAATAGGAAAACAGGTGAAAATAAACCGGCACAGATGATTGGAGCACTAGCTAAACTTTCTTGCTATTGGTGACAAATGATTAAAAAACAATTAACATTTATTATTCTACATATGAACGCCGGACTAGAAAAAGTGCCCCAAGTTTCTGACTCTAACCCTGTGTCATCAAACTTATTTCCACAAACTTACAGAGCTCCATCTTAAAATCAGTTCCTGTATTCATCCCCATGACTCTGACTGGAAGACCATCCCAGAACTTCATTGCACTGTGCCTAAGAAATCTTTTCACCTCCACCAGAAGTTCACTCACAGCCAAATCATGCTTATCTGTTCTCGTGCAAATATAGACCTCTGGCTTAATAACTAAGGAAGGAAGAAAGCTAAGTATCTTCCATGTGCTGAGAGAGCAATTCTATTTCTTCTCAGATGTTGTCTTGTTTGATTAACAAACTCTTAGCTCATTCCTTCTAGTTCCCTCTCAAGATCTCCACCCTCCTAATCATACTAACGGTCCATCAGCACCCCTGTTTTCCTCTTGGATTTAAAAGCGTGCACAATTAAACTGAAAGCTAAACTACAGGAGACGTACGAGGTGACATTACCCCACTTAATTTGAGTCAATGCCCCAAGACTTGCACCTGTTCTTAAGAACAGCATAAGCTAGAAAAAGTAGAGCTGAATTCAGCCATCAGCCACATGCACACCTATGCCCTCTAACCCATAAAGAGGGATGCTTTAATTCAAACCAGAGGTACATCTCACCCATCGCTCTCTGTCTACAGGGTGGAATGGGGCTAGCCAACGAAAATGAGCCCTCAAACTCATCAAGCTCCTCTTGAAAGGAAGCACCTCCTTATTACTACTCACTTTTGCCAGCTCTTGAAAGTTTCAAATAACACCATTAATTCACCACGCTAGCCAACGTGGGGCACCCTTTCAGGCACGGAAATCATTAGCTCAAAAACCTCGTCGGTGCCTAACCGTGTCGCTCACCGAGGCTGTCAGGGTGTGCAGGCAGCAGCGCTGCGGCACCTGTTCCGCAGTCAGTCCCCTCGCGGTTTTACATAACGCGCTCTGGGTCGCTCCCGGCCTTTCCAGGGGCTGCTGCCACTTACGTAACGCAGCTTCCCGCAGACCACCGCGAGCGGCCGCAAG